ACAGGCGACAAATGCCGAGACAAATACGGACAGTTGGACAAACGGAATAGGCACAAACTAGCAAACTTCCCCACATGTTAGCCGCTTCTTTCTCATGCGTAGTTGAGTGGACATCACAAGAGGTGATTTGCATTTATTTATTTAGGGTTACCAAGTGGACAAATTTCTGAGTGTGGGGTTTTTCTGTGGACAGATTTACTAAGCCAACGTAAGTTATCCAAAACGAAGTTTATTTTGCAGAGATTGACCAGTGGTACAGTACTGGACTATCAAACTCGAGTTGCAAAAGAATCGGTGTATACAACACTCAGGTGACTTCAAACCGGTATGACACAATGGCACACTGTCTTCGATGATGCCAATGCGCAGGTGGGAAAGGTTTGTATGACTGAGTAACCCATCCACAAGTGATTATCACCGAACCATTTGTACTCATTAGACAAAATTTTGCTTATCCCCAATAGCCTAGTGTTTGCGTGACAAAAAGAACAAAACAAATTAGACCGCAAAAATTGGATTCTCTCTACAGCCCAATAAATCCGATAACATTGGACTTTTGTTCAAGAAATAGGTAAGAGTACACCATGACTAATTACAGATTGAGGTTTGTGAGGAGGGAGGGTGTAGTCTGAGTTGCATTAGCATGAACATGCAACGATGGTGGCGGTGGTGCAGTGGTTTAGTCGCTGTCGCTGGCTCGCTTTGAATCCGATGGTCTGAGGTTCGAGCCCCGCCACCGCACCCAACTCTGGTGGTAGGCAGATTTGCTGTCGTCCGGTTCAATAGCACGCCTGATCTAGCGAGGCCTTATGTGGTCCGCCCTCCAAGTCCCGAGGCTTAGACTACCTACTTCCATAACGTAGCAGCAGGTTTTCGTGACTATGGGGTTCAACCCGTCGGCCGTTCATCACAAAATGTGTGTCATAGAAAAACAGTGATAATAAACTTTTCTGACACAATGTTCTTATTCTGTGAGACTGCTCAGTTCAGTTATCATGTTACAATCCACTAGTCTAAGCAGATTCGCACCACTGAATGAGTATTCTGTATTCCTCATGACTCGGATGATGATGATGAAGATAATCTCTTTGCTCCCATTTACGTTATAAACAGTAGTTGTGCAAATGAATTTGTGGAAGAGGGCCGCGGTCAGATAGAACAGTAAGGTGATGATGACCGGATACAAACTCATGAATTCCTAAACAATGATGGGTGGGCGGCCAGCACCGCTCGGCCTCCGATTTGCACAAACGAATCGTCCTATTGAAGCAATTTGCAGACTTCCACCGGGTAAGATTTCAACGGTAAGCTTCTATCTTTGCCCGCGGAATTCCCAATCATCCTATTCCCAGTGTGTCATGCAGAGCTGATAATTCTAGTTCGTCTATCGCAACACGAATTGATCCAATAATAATAATAAAAAACAACCAGTTTTGAACGGTTTTCCACTCCTATCGCACCATGTATCAGCTGAAATTGATGTCACTTTGTCAGACCCTATTAATCCGAGGGCGCGGGGTCACGCACGCGTCGAATGCCTTCACAGTGCTCCGTGGAGAACAAGCGGCACAATTCGCATAGGCTTCAGTTTTGCTCGCACCCTGTGATTTAGGAAATAATAACAATGCCGTGCTAACTTTTGGTGTGAGCGCTTATTGCGGGCATAGTTCGTCTTCATTCTCAATAATAATAATAATAATAATAGGTGAAACACACAGTCGACATCTCAAGTATGAACAATATGGTGTATGCGCGTGAGTCCGGGGAAGTTTACTGTTGCCTCCATTCGTACATACTATTGGCCAAGTGTAGTCAGAAACACACGCGTGCGCGAGAGCGCGCACTACTACTACTACTACTACTACTACTACTACTACTACTACTACT